GTCGTGCGACCCTGCTGCTGTACTGGCTTGTAGTTCGTTTATAGCATAACGTTAGCATTTTGCTTCTGGCGACTAGATTTAGGATTCAAAAATTATAAAAGTACGGTTGACATATGGAGATTATCCGGCTTAACAAAACGTGATCCCTCTCTTAAATGTGTGTCAACCACAGACCTTATTTCGAGCTATTTTCCAAAATCCTATGGAGAATTTGCATTGGTTTTTGACGAAGGACCGGAAGAAGTTTACTTCCGGGTTTAAGGACGCGTCACTGCGGCTCTCTATTCTTGATGTTTAGCTCGGATGACGGCGCGTATCGAACTGTTCTGATAAAAACGACTCTGTAGCTCGTTGTCTACCTTGCTATGATTGTAAAGTCATGTTTGTATTTTTACAACGTTATGTTCATGAGTTATTCATCCGCGAAATTCGAATCTGTCAATAACTCAGCTCAGAGGGACGTGCATGTCCCCTCGCTCTGAGTGTTCTCTTGAGGTGTCTTCACTTATGTGAAACCCTTTATATGCCTACAGTCTATGTGTGAAACCCGTGCCTATTGCCAAGCACTGATGTTATATCTTTATAATTAAGGCCAAGATCAAAGTAAAATCGATGAACCACTCCATTGTTGTGGTTTCTGTGTTGCCGTAGCAGCCGATCTGACCAGGAAGCACTAAATGAAAAGTTTTGCGAGATCTCCCAAAACATTTCCTTTTTGTTCAAATTTTTTTTTTTTTCTTCTCCATGTCCCCTAGGGGGCTCCGTATAAAAGACACCTGATGATAGATAAAGCTTTTAAGATATCTTTGGAATTACAAGAGAGAGTCGTTGAGACCAGGGATGTAATGACAGGCTGTAATGCCCTCTCAGAGCCTATGTTGATAAGACTATAGCGTAGACGGCAGGATGAGGGCTTTCCTATTTAGGTTAAATTGAGAAAATATTCGCCGTAAGTGCGCAGGGACCGTCTACAAAGTGTGACGCCGAAACGAAATTATACCAACATATTTGCCTGCAATACAATTCTGCCAAAAATACTTCCCCTGTTGTACCATGCAGTGCTACCAAATCCACTTCACACATGTATGGTGTCTCGTTGGTTAAAATACACAAATGGTTTTAGGAAAATATGTATTTGCCACATTTTTGTTAATAGTTTATGGAAAAAGTGCAATAACTTTGCCGTGATACAGTATAGTGCTACCAAAATTATTCTAGACTTAAATGGTCTACGACTGGTTATTTCATAAAAGTTATCTGAGAAAAATATGCTTTTTCTGTGAGTTAGACATTTTACAAATGTAATAGACAAATATGATTATAGCGCGAGGGACACATTTCTTCGATATCTCAAGGAGATAACAAGGCTGTGTGGACACAGTAGGACTGCACAGGGGCCATACTTCGGTTTGATGGTAGCCATGTGCGAGTAAGCACAAACTCCCTTACTAACATTTGCGTAAGCCCTTTGTTGTAAAGAAAGGTAGGCATTTTTCTTCAGAAAGCTCTTTATTTTATTCAAGGTTTTCTCATATACATAGGCAAATGAATATACTCTGTATTTAAATTAATCGTAATTATACAATATGTTAAAAGAGATACACAATCATGAAAGTCATCACCATTTCCTGTGTTTCAGTCCTGGAAGCCATATTGTGCTAGTGCTCCAAAGGGGAGCAGGCCTCGAGAGTACTCCTTTTGTGTTGTTCAGTTTTATTACCTGCACCTCACATTACAACATCATATAAAGAGTATGCCTGTGTGCTACGAAGCAGGATTTGTGGTTAGCAAGTTAACTTCAGGGTTGTTTAAACAAGTGCCATGAACCTGAGATGTAAACAAATGAATGCAACAAATAATGTCCAGGCTACCTACAAAAAGACAATACAGTCAATCAGCTGCAAAATGTATGAATAATACGTTTGACTTACTCAGGATATTGATGACCCTCATTAACATTATGAATGAATGAGTTGTGTTTTTTCTAAAATGTAAATGAACAACATACTGCAGAAATACTTACGTTTTCCCCCTGACCCATTGTTGACACCTATATACTGGCCATCAAATAATTTCCTCTATGTCACTTTGCATTTCATAGCTATACATTTGGTCAGTAGGTAGACATGCTATATCCTCAAATACAGGAGCATAGCTGCTAAAAGGAAGGTGCATATTTAAAATATTTCCCCATTGCTCAAACATACTAGAGGGAACACTCTCAGCTTTATCCTGACCTGCATCAGAAGGACAGGTGTGCTTTAAGAATGTGCTGACAGGTATGATGCCTTGTTGTCTGAAGCTGCATGCAAACTGTCCACACTCAGACTCCGAGCAGGTGAATGTGCTGTCTGTTTCACTGTCAGAAGAGCCATTGATCAACGTGTGGGACTTGGTAGGTCCAGACCTCAGGGATGCTCGATGTGACATTGTTTTGTCCTGAGGAGTGTTTAGTTTGCTAATTTCTTCAAGAGTGAGGCATTGTACAGGATCCAGGAACTCTAGTTCTACCAACCTTTTCTTGTGACAAAGTGGTGCATACTGTAAATCGATCTTAGTCAACAACTGCTTATTTAAGAAAGCAACATCTTGTGGCTTTGTCTGACATGTTGCCCTCTCTTCACTGGAGTGTTCTTTCTTAAATCCTGCTAACAGTCCCCTCAGATCTCCCCTCCGCTTTGGATCAACTTTCACACACTTTGTGCTGTACAGATGCTTGTGCCAGCTGAGCGTCAGTGAGGCAGTGTCTGAATGAAGTTCACTACAGATGCTGCCGATTTCATAATACTCCAGCTCACTGTTTGGCACTGGCAGAACACTTGACAAACTTGCATCACCGTAAAACTCCACATTCAACCTCGGCTGATCTGCCCTTATCGGGACGTTTTGTTTCTTGTTTTCTGAATCTGTGAGCGTTCTGTTGTCGTCAAAGCAAAACACTACATTGCCAGTCCCTTGCTCTGTTTTCTGTTGCGAGTTATCAGTCTGACCCTCTGCTTTGTGACGCCTCACTTTGTAAACGGCAACACAAATTCCTATAATCACAAGGATGGATATCAGAGGAAGAATCAAAGCTAGGAGCCACAGGTGCACGCTGCCCTGGGCCTCAGGGCATTGATTACGGCTCTCTGTTGTAGAGAGGCAGATATCACAGGCATGGTCAGAAACATTATGTAGACAGACACAGGATGTGTTCTGCTCAGCACGTCCACACCCACCCAGACGGTTTTGACAGAGTGCAGAAGGACAATGCCGTCTGGCTGTGTCCTCCTCAGAGCAGGGCGAGGGGAGGCAGACAGTTGGAGAGCTGCAGCCCGGCTTGATAAGAGTCGAACTTGGCCTGACTTCTACCATCTCACTGTGTCCACTGAGAGGCAGAGTGTAACCGCTCACAGTGAAGTACTGCACACATCCAGTGAACCCTGCATAAAGAGATGAAGACAGATATGCATGTACGTTTAAAAATACAGGTTGTAATATAAGAGTGATCTTAAACAGCAAAACTTGGGTGCTTGGTCCTAATTTAAATAATCTGCTGCAAGTTATTACTTAAATGATGATGAAGCAACAAGAGATAACGAGAAATGACTGACTATATAGTTTATATAGATAGAGATAAGACCCTGATCATCTGAGGACACCGCCCTAAAATGATCTATCTTTAGTTTACGCGCAACAAAGATGATCTTTTCCTTCAGATTTGACCTGATTAATCAGACTGTTGGAACTTTGAATCACCTGTCACAGCTGCACCAAGAATAATCTTTTCCACACGAACAGGAGAGAGATCCATCCTGTGCTCAGTGATGTTTAAGGCTGATGTATTATCTAGAAGCAGAAAGGTAGTCTGTCCGATGCTGAGCAAAGCGAGGACATGCCAGACTCCGTCAGCCACAGGAGAGTCCAGAGGGAACTCTGACTCGTGTCCTGACAGTGTATCTTTGAAAATGTACACAGGCCTTCTGTCTTTTATCTGTATTAGACAGAAGGAACAAGCTATTACACACTTCAAATATATGTAGTAATATATGTATGTAATCTCTGGATAAATGTGTTCATGCCTACCTTTAGCATAGAGAATCCTATCTTTTCAACAACAGATATTAAGACCCCATCTTCTTGGGTCTTGAACTTGATTTCAACCACTCTTTGGTCTCTGCTGTTTTCCTCTTTGTTATCATCCAGCAATCCTTTCAGCAGATAGTCTCTCTTGAATCGCTCCTTTATGACATACTCAATGTATTCATTCCCATGAAATCGCAATACAAGCTCCTCTGACATTTCTATTGAAAAAGACAGAACATGTTTAATTTGTATAAAAAATAAGAAAATACATTTAAAATCAGCCCTGGGTATAAAAAGGTATATTTACCCTTAGCACAGTTGCTTCCAGTAAAAATGCTTTTGCACTCACAAATAGAATATGACCAAAGGTCATGGCACACACCGCCGTTTTTACATGGGTTGCTATGACATGGTGATGCTGTTATCCGAGGACACCTTCATGAAGCAAAAAGATTATGACAGAAATCATTTGTGGAAATGTGGACATAAACATAAGTAAACCTCACAGTTTATTCTTACATTGTAAAAATGTATTGTGCATATTAAATGATTACCTATTAAGGATGTTATATGTTGCTAGGGCCATTGAAGGTCTCAGCAAGATGCCATTCACATGAGTGTTACGAATACATCCAACAAAGTCATGGGTTTTAATCTGACCAGGATGCAGTAAAACAGATTCAAAACTATTGGTTCCTCCAAACGTCATGTTACTGCCAACATCTAGTGTTCTGAAAAGACATGAGATTAATCAACATCAAATACGACCAACAAGTAGGTTGTGTATTGTGTGTAAGTACTGATTACTATCTTACTGCTACCTCTTCAAGCTACTGCCATCACTTTGTGAAAAACAGAATCCAGTGTTCTCTTCATCTGTGCAGTTGTCCACATGCAAAGAACCCATCTGTTAAATGGAAATATTGCTTCTATCAGTCTATTTAGATTGACTTCTCTCATTTCAAAATGTAAAAAGCCAACTCATTAACATCGCGTATATGTATTGACATATACGAAACTCACATTCCCAATCCTCCTGGCAGTGACACTGTGGAAATATCCGTCTGCCACTTGTTTGTTTGTGTGTAGCCTCACAGGTCCAGAGCCAAGGTCATAAGAGAGATGTATGGCCCCATCCAGTATCTCCAGTGCAAAGAAATCCCTGCTGGATGATCCTCCAGGGTTATACAGGAGCAGAGACTTCCTCTGTACTGTTGCAAACTCTAGAGAGATTAAATTTGTCCTGCGATCCAACGGGGGAAACTCCATGAAGGACAGCTCCTCAAAGCCATAACTGTGCTCCTCACAATGGACTCCACTTACTCCTAAAATGAAACAGGCTGTTTGAATATTTTATCTCAGTCAGGTTGAAAAGTTTAAATTAAAAATAATAATTAAAGCTGCAAATTACACATTTTCACCTTCTTGAGGAAAGTGGTAATATAACATTAGTAACAATCTCATATTCTGTCAATTAAATGTAATGCCTTTAAGCTAACAGCCCATTAGCTAAGTTTAACAAGTGCAAGAACGAGTGCAAGAATGAACATTTTAAAAGGGGTTATGCTCCAGACTGTTTTTTCCTTTAATATGAGAAAATGGCCCACAATTTCAGACAGTTTATGGAAGAGTGTTCCACGCATATATGCTTATGACAAGGGACAGATAACATATAGAGAACGAAAAAAGAGAAACCTGGAAAAGTATCGCGGGAATCACAAATAATGATCCTCACAATAGCTTTCAATAAAGTTTCATGAGTTGGATTGTGTTGCTCTTTTACAAAGTCAGTGTCTTCGTCCTGTTCCAAGAGTCCGTGCTAAACTAACCTTACCAACTGCTAACTCTAGCAGGAAAGCAAATACAAATGTAAATGTTCCCATCTGATGAACTTGGGCATTAAAGCTCCCTCTTTATGCATATTTCTTACCAAAGGGACATTGACAAGAGAATCCAGTCTGTGAATTGGTGCAGCTGCCCTCAACACAAGGGCCTGACCTACAGTGGTTTGTTGGCTGCTCACACATTTCTCCTGGAAAACAAAACAAGCCCAGTTTTTTAAGAAATTCTGAAAACTATTCATGCATAACGTTTTTAAATATTTAAAAGGCTACCCTCAAATCCAGGCACACAGCGACAGTGATATCCATCCTGCGTGGGAATACAAGTTCCCCCGTTTTGGCACTTCACTTTCAGGCATTTGTCTTCATCAGGAGAGCAGAACAAGCCAGAGAAACCACTCTGACAGTGACAGTAGAAACTTCCTGGAGTATTCACACATGTGCCTTTATTTTTGCAAGGATTTGCTTCACATTCATCAGTGTCCTCTTCACACAGTTTCCCAGTGAAGCCAGCTGGACATGTACAATTAAAAATCTCTTTCTGGGGTGACACAAAGATGACTGCTGAACTTTCCAGGACAGCAACATCCCGGCTGATGTAAATGTTTTTGTTGCATGTTGCCCCGTTTTGACATGGGCTGGTGAGACATGGATCAGTTGTGATGCGAGTAATCGTCACATTGCTTTGAGCCTCCAGTAATTTCCTATGGCCTACAGAGATACCACTGGCCACCTCTTTGCTAAGATATTGACCGTTGTAATTTTTCGCCGCTGCCAATAGAAGGATCTCACTGCCAAGATGCTTGATTCCAAATACATGAGTCTTAGAGGCCTGAAGGTTAAACAGACTGTCTAAAGCTTTCACAAAGCGCAAATACTTATTAGACATAAACTCTTCCATCGAGGATGATGACACATAAAATAGTATGCAGCTGTCTAAAGTAGCATTAGTGAAACCTTTGTAGTTTACATAGATGCTGTTGTTGACTGGGAAGTGAAGCTGATCTGTAGCCTCGATAGTGATGTTTAATGTAGCCTCACCTTGAAAAGGAGATGACATCAGCTCACATGTGCCGTTAGGTATTGTAAACATATTAAGTTGTCTACTTTTGATGGCGCAGTAGAATGTATCAGACTCATCCTGATCTTCAGGATGGACGTTACCGATCAGGCCTCCATGGAAAGCACTGCCAAAGTATTTCACCTCGATGAAGATATTTCTAGGCAGTGAAGGGTTATCGTTCTCATCCATGATCTTGATGTGGATCATTGTTGTTGATGAAAGCGGAGGGACCCCTGCATCTCTAACGGCCACCAGGACTCGATAGGAAGAGATTTGTTCCCGATCGATAGTCCGTGTGGTAAATAAAACTCCATCAGGAGTCAGGGAAAAAGCAGTACCCGTTGAAAGGTTAACCAACCAGTAAGTAAAAGGTCCCTGGTTTGGTGGCAAATCAGAATCAGATGCATTTAAAGTTGCAATTAATGTGCCTTGAGGTTGATTTTCCTTCACTTGAGCCTCAGTGAGTGTGAGTATGGGAGTGTTGTCGTTAACATCATCAATAGTGACAATCACATTAGTAGTCCCAGTGGATGGTGGAGAGCCATTATCAGTGGCTGTAACAGTCAGATTATAAACTGGCCACAGCTCTCTGTCAAGTGTAGAGTTTACTGAAATAACACCACTTGATGGATCAATGGCAAAAGAGAAGTTTGTGTTTCCATTTTCAATACTGAAGAAGAAACTATTCCAGTCCAAGATAGAGTCCTCATCTAGAGCACTCACAGTTATCACAGATGTCCCAACTGGGCTATCTTCTTCAACATTGGCCAAATAAAGTTCAGAGGTAAAAACTGGTGCATCGTTTGTGTCGATGACACTGATGTGGACCAAAGCCTCGTCTTCATCCATGCCAGTGATAACACCAGAGTTCTTCGCTAGAATTTTCAAAACTACGTGACTGTTGCCTTGTTTTCTCAAACTGCCAGTTGTGTATATTTCTCCAGATTGTTTGTTAATTTCAAAGCCCATATGTTTGTTTTGACCAAACATCAAGTAAAACACCTGACCTGCAGAGCCTTGGTCATAATCTGTAGCTGTTATTTGTCCAATTCTAGTTCCAAGGGCAACATTTTTAAATACAGAAAAGCTATATTCTTTTTTTCTGAATATAGGAGTATACTCATTAACATCTGAGATGTGGATGACAACGTGTGCTAAACTAAATAAAGTATGACGACCATTGTTTAAAGCTTTGATTGTCAGATCAAACATTTGCTCTTGCTCATAATCAAATACATCCAAAGTGATGATAGTGCCATTATTTGAATCAATTGCAAATTTATCCACATGGCCAGCAATAAAAGAGTAGGCTATCTGTGCACCTGCATCAGCATCTGTTGTCTTCACAAATAGGACATTTGTTCCAATTTCAGAGTTTTCAGGCACTGATGTAATATACTCTGAGGATGAAAAGACTGGAGGATTGTCATTCACATCCATAACTACCACAGTAACATTTACCGTTCCAGTTTTAGAGACCCAGCCTCCATCCAGGGCTGTGATTTGGAGATAATAAATATTTTCTTTTTCAAAGTCAAGCTCTCTGATCAATTTTAACAGCCCAGATGCTTCTCCTACAGAGAACGGTAAATATTTATGGTCAGGGGTAATACAGTACATGATTGCTCCATTGGGACCATAATCCCCATCTTCTGCTAGAATTTTCCCAATTACCGATCCTGTCTGCAAGTCTTCAGGGACAGAGAAAATGACATCTGGCTCTCTAAAGCTTGGAGAAAATTGATTTCTCCCAGTAATTTCCAAAGTGATTTCACTATGTGATGACAAAGAAGGGAAGCCCTGATCTTTTGCAATAACTAATAAAGTGTAATACATATTTACACTCTCAACCAAAGAGTGATTTAACATTACTTTCCCATTGTCCGCTTGGATCCAGAAGAAATCCGATGCATTACGTCCATCCAAAAAATATTCAATACCAAGGCTGGTGTTACTGACATCCTGATCTATTGCTGTTAACTGGACCACCTCAGTACCAACAGCCATGTTATGCGGGATAGCAATAAGAGGCTTGAAAGCTAAAAACATTGGTGGGTAGGAGTTATATGGCTCTAATCTCACTGTGACTGTGGCAGTGCTGTACAGAGGAACACTGCCGCAATCCAAAGCAATAACTGTAAACTCATAGATTTCGAAAGCAGAATTATGTAACATCAATGGTTGCTTAGTATAGATCTCACCAGATGAAGCATTCATCCAAAACTGCTCATGTTCATGTTCTATAGCATATATGATCTCACAGTTCTGCCCCATGTCTGCATCTGTTGCAAAAACCTGCATAACAAACACCTCTTTAGCTTTTGTTTCAGTGAGTGCAATGCTGTAAAAAGGATTAGAGAATACTGGTTCATTATCATTGACATCTACAATGATTATAGTGACTTCAGTGCTGATGCTCCATGCTGAATCATTTGCATTTACTTTCAAGATATAATGATCTTTCAACTCCCTGTCCATAAGTCTTCCAACAGTGATGAAGCCACTAGTGAAACCAATATTAAATGTCAAATCATCACTTTGGTCAATTATGGAGTAATAGATTACTGCATTGGCACCAGTATCATCATCGGCTGAGGTGACTTGTAAAATGGTGTGTCCAACTGGGGAATCCTCAATGACCTCGGTAAGAAAAATCTGTGAAAAGCGAGGTGCGTTGTCATTCCTGTCTAAAACAACAACGATAACAGTTACGGTGTCTTTGTGAAGAGGGGTGTTTAGCTCTGAAGCTTCAACTGTTAAATTAAATTCCGGGATATGTTCTCTGTCTAAACTTGCTGTGGTACTCAATAAACCATTTTCAGGGTCAATTGTGAAAAAACCCTCTGTGTTTCCTTCTGTTATATTGTACTGCACTGTGCCAAAGCTGCCTGAATCAGCGTCAATGGCAAGAACATCACAGACCCAGGATTGTGGGTAGTTCTCAAAGACTTCACACCTGTACTCTGCTTGGGTGAAGTGAGGGAAGTTATCATTTATATCACTGATGTTTATGTGAATTTCTGCAAATGATGAGAAAGGAGGCGAGCCAGAGTCTCGTGCTTCTACCAACAAAGTAAACTCCTTTTTGGTCTCATAATCCAGAGGGTTCTCCACAGTCAAAACTCCACTCGCTTGCTCCACATGAAACATGTCTTCTAAGTTTCCAGAAGCTAGATAAAAAAAGACAGGCTCAGCTCTGATGCTTGCTGCAGAGACAACTGCCACTAACGTTCCGACTGGCGTGTCCTCAGAGAGAAAACCGCTGATGACACTCACATTAATCTCTGGAAACTCAGAGGCATTCTGAAACCTGATGCTGATCGTAGTGACATCAAATTTAGGATTTTCTCCAGCATCTTCCACATGTACATTGACAACGATAGCTTCCGTTCTCCAGAGACCACTGGAAGTGAATACAGTGCCGCTGTAGGGTTGGATGGAAAACAGATCTGAACTTTGTCCATATAACGAATAATGTAGTTCTGCGTTCATCTCAGTATCTTCATCCGTTGCTCTTAATGCACAAACAACTGAACCTGTAAGGGTAAAAAACATAAACTAAATAAAACTCAAGTCCATGTTATCCAGGGTGGAATAAATAACTGTCAAGTGGAAGTGAAAACTCTCACCTGGAGCCATCTCTGTGGGTACATAGGCCACATATGGGCTGTTCAAAAACTGGGGCCTGTGGTCGTTAATATCTCCGATGAGCACAGTAACCAGCACTGAGTTTGACATAGGCTGAGTAGGATGCTTGTCACTGCCAATCACCATCAACCTGTAAATGGCTACTGTCTCCCTGTCCAGGACTTTGGTTGTTAGCAGCTCTCCAGATGTTTCTTCAATCGCGAAAGGCACATCAAGGTTCTCCATCGAATACCTTAGGGTGTGTGAAAAGATGTTATAGTGTTCAAGGATTATGTATCGATCAATATAATATATATAGAATCTAAGAACTTTTCCAGAGTATCTTATGCAGTATAATGAGTAAATACTCAAGAAAGACCAATGTGTCAGAAATGTTAATCCTAATGTTACGCTACTATTATCAAGAAACATGATACCAAACAAGGTCACGGACAAAAATGTGTCTCTTAAGCAGAGGCGCGGGAAGGTATTTTGAGTGGGGGTGCTGAGGTGCTGAACTCTAGTGAACACTATTACGGGCAGAAGCTACAGTGGAATGTTCTACTACAGCAACACTCCCCACAGGAAAACACACAGTACACCCACGACTGTTACAATGAAGGCTCGATAATCAGCTCACGGCATATAGGCAGGGGTAAAGTGTTCCCCCCACCCCATTTTTTTAAATATTGAAGTTAAAAGCATCAATCTGGTGCACTTTGAGAGCAACATGAACTATGGATACATCTCTCAACATCCATATGAAACACAACTGTAATCAGATGTTATTTTTCTTTATGGATATTTTACAAATCACTCCCCTTTCAAACTGTATTCTTGTTTTACTGCCATATAGTATTTCATACCTGTTTTTCCTTTATTCTCTTATTTTTTTTATAACGATAGTGATCATATGAAGGTGTGCCGCGGAAATATGCTAATCTTTTGAATAATTTGTTTCCAAACCGTTTGAGACCCACTGAGTTAACTTAGACTAAAGTTAACTATCTAAACACTCAGAGAGTCCTTTAGCTCACCTGAGCCTCTCAGTCTGAGAGGAGAGGACTCTCCTCCAGATTGCTGTGGAACAAACAGCTCCTTATGTCCGTTAGTGCAGCTAGCTAACCAGATGCTAACAACACGGTCCCTGCTGGCACCGACAACTCCTGCCCCGCCTCCCTCCACGGTTCACCGTTCGGTTCTCCCCTCCCTCCTCTCCCCCGGACGGGGGAGACAGACTCGGAGCAGGGTGCCAGCTTGGCGGCCGAACATGCTTCCCCCCTCTCCGTCACCACAGCGCGGCGGCGAATAACATCGCGCTGCTCTCCAACTCGGTGGTGACACTGGTAGAGCGCAGACCCGGCGTCATGGGCGGGCCCCATGGGGCCGGGCCCGCCCATCCAGGATTTGGGCCCGCTGTTTTAATCAGGGCTGAATATAACATTTTAATTGTTTTATTATTATGTTTATTGTTGTTATTTGTAGGGCTTTGTCCTAATATTTATTTTTGTTTTAAACTATGTTGAAAGATTAGTATAATATCATTTTTTTATTTTGCTATGAAATTCTGAATGAAAGGCTGCGCACGAGACTGGTTTTTCGCTGGGTTAAATCGTGTGTTTTTGAGTGAGATGCGGCACAGCAGCCTGTCAGTTTACTCTTGCTAGGTTAGTTTGGCTATTATCATTTATATTTATCTGCAACAATGGATTTCAGGAAGTGGTTCATGAAAGGAATATGGCAACTCAGCGCCAGATGCAGGCACATTAGAAGACATCAGTTACGTTACCAACGAGCTAGCAAGCCAGCCAGGGACAAGGGAGGCTGGCAATCAATTATATTTTGAAGATAAATGGACTCTCAAGCCGGCTCTCTCACAAACTGCTCTGTGCGCAAGCAGACCGCTGCACAGTGTACACGCTTTCTGCCTCGCTCAATCTCTCTCTCTCCCTTTCTCTCCATCGCTCGACCTCACTCCACCTCTCCACCCTGTGTGCCCTCCTCAAATTTGTCTGCGTGCTTGCCCATGTTGGCACAGCGTTACAATGTCTACAATAAGACCGTA